CTCCGCAACGGGAGAGGCCACAACAGTGAGAGGCCCGCGTACCGCCAAAAAAAAAAGAAAAGAAAAGAAAAGAAACAATGCCCTAGACCTGCCACAGGCCTGATCTGACGAGACAACTGCCCCATCTTCCCCACTCAGGCCCCACCGCCACGGTTGATACCCCTGGCACTCCTGCACCATGAATCCCATCTTGCAGCCACTGCTACCTCTGAACATCAGGTGCCTCTGCTTCCAAACCACCAGCAACTCTGATGCCACGGGAGCCTCCCTCCTCAGGTTTCTCGCCTCTGAATTGGAATCTGCTGAGGGTGCCGCTGACTGACTGGCAGAGCTGGGTATGTGCCGGCCCCCATGCTGGGAGAGCCAGGCATCGGGCTGCTCCTGAGGGACAGGGGTTCCCGAGGTGGGTCATTCCCTCAACAGAAGAGGAGTGGGTTAAGAGGTGCTGGGAAACCAGCAAACACGAGAGATGTCCACCACCAGTACTTCTAGATGAGACGTTTAACAGCCACACAAAGGAGACCAACAGGAAGGTAGCTGAAAGAGGCCAGAGGCACAAATAGTTGTTGTTGTTTTTTTTACGGTTAGAAATTATTTTAAATGCATCATTTCATACATCAGAAGAATAATTATAATGTATATGCTACCTATAAAGCATAGCAATAAATCAGATACCTGTGAACCCAATACTCAACCTCAGACTAGAAATTTCCAGTTCTGTTGAAGTTATTGTTGCACTTCTTCCTCATCTTTTTTCTGAGCTTTATTAAAGTGTATTTATACTCGATATAGCTTTCTGTGATGTTATTCCCTTAATATTGTATTTCTAAGATTCATCCATATTGCTTTATGTATGTACAGTTGGATCAATTTCCTTAATATGTAATAAGCATGGGACTACCAGAATGTATTTATCATCCTCCCATCAGTCGACAGTTGGCTTGCTTCTAGCATCTATTACAAACAATGGTGCTGTGCAAAAAAATTTAAACATGTCTCCTGAATGACGAATTCAAAAATTCCTTTAGAAAGAAAAGTAGGGGTAGAATTGCTGGGAGGTAGGGTATAAATGCTTAAATCTGTGAGACAATATCAAATTGTTTTCCTTTGGCCAGCAGTGTATAAGAGTCCTAATTTTACCACATTCTTCTCATCCCTTGATTTTGCTGGATTTTTTTGCCAATCTAATTGGATGCATGTGAAGTAATATCTCATTGTGATTTTAATTTCAAATGAGGTGAGCATCTTTACATAGATTTATTCACAATTTCCATTTCCTCTTCCGTGAAATGCTAGTGCCTTTTACCCATTTATCATTTGGTAGTTTGTCTCTTAAAATTGGTTTATAGTTCTTTATATATATTGGGCACTATTCTTTGCCAGTTAAATTTGTTGTAAACATCCCCCCTCCAGTTTGTGGCTTGTTTTCTCCCTTCCATCTTTTTGATGAACAGATGTGGGAGTGGAGTCAGAATTCCAGACTCAGAATTTCAGCAGAGTCTGAAATTCTGAAAGCTGGTGACATGCCTGAGGTCCATTGACACACATGCTCCAGTAAAACAAAGGAATACACACTGAGACTAAGACAGAAAAATATTTCCACATAAGGTGATAAGTTCACCACAGGCCCATGTGGGTTCTTTATCTCTAGGTTAGGAAGTGTTCCAAGCCCAAGGCCCATTCTTACATGGTCAAGCTTGGGTTGAAACAATGCATGTACAAGATTGCCTTTCCCAATGTTTAGTGCAGAGTTTTCATCCTTGAGGTCATCTGGCTACTGCAATGTCAGCCATCACCTCTACCTTCCAGATAAGAGGAAGGGTAAAGACAAAGGTCAAACCACCCTCCCTTCCAGCTGAGTCATCCCCTTTGGAGTGATGCACGGAGATTGGAAGCTCCACTCAACGTTTTGCTTAATTCCATTGTCCATCCCTATCTGTAAGGAGGGCTGATACCCAGGATAAGATTTGAGTTCTAAAACTAACAAAGAGAGGGAGCCTGGATGTTGTGGGCAACAAGCAGTGTCTGCCCACATAGTAATTGCTACCCCTCAGGTCCCAGCTCAAAGTTCATTTCCCAAAGACATTCTTTTTTTGTTTTTTGTTTTTTGGCAGTGTGGCATTTGGGATCTTAGTTTCCTGACTGGGGATCGAAACCACGCCCCGCTGCAGTGGAAGTGCGGAGACTTAACCAGTGGACCACCAGGGAAGTCCCAAAAGGCATTCTTTCTTGATGCCCCTCCTTAGATCAAGTTCCTTTTGGCTATACCTCGTTGCAGTGTGCGGGCTTCTCATTGCGGTGGCTTCTCTTGTTAAGGCACACGGGCTCTAGGCATGTGGGCTTCAGTAGTTGTGGCACACGGGCTCAGTAGTTGTGGCTCGCGGTCTGTAGAGCACAGACTCAGGAGTTGTGGCACACGGGCTTAGTTGCTCCACGACGTGTGGGATTTTCCCGGCAGGGATCGAACTCATGTCCCCTGCATCAGCAGGCAGATTCTTAACCACTGCACCACCAGGGAAGCCCTGGCGGTACTCTTTAACACTGTAGAGAAGATAAAATTTCCCCTCTACCTTTTTAGGGTCTCTGGCTAGACCTAAAAATTAAGCTGACATGACAGACTAACAGGAGGAAAGCATACAAATTTTATTTAGTCATTTTTACATGTGCATAGGAGCCTTCACAAGAAAAATGAAGACCCAAAGAAGCAGTTAGGGCTGAGAGCTTATATACTGGGTTGTTAATGTTGAAATCAATGCAGCTGCACTGTGTATTATGTATGTTGGGTAAATTCATTGTCATGTACAAATCTAAGCTTAGTGTTCTAAAATCATATAAGTGGATTTTATGTTTTAATAAAGTAGTCCTACAAGACACATTCCAATTGGAAGGAATCTCATGTGCAAAGATCACTGACAAATTTATTTTCTGAATGAGACAATAGCTACTATATATTAAGAATCTACTATGAGCAGAACGTATGCTTAACATAGATTTTTTAACATTGATCATTTTTCCTATCTCCTGTCTTTTTGTTCTATGAATTTCTTATTTCTGCTATAAAATATTTTAATATTTGATTTTAAATATCCAAGAGCTCTTTCTTTTCTCACTGATGCAATATTTACTATTATTTTCTATAAATGTTAATTACACATCCTCTGAAGTTTCTTCTGCTCTCTGAATTGTCTCTGTTTCCTCTGAGTCCCTATTTCTTCTTTGTTTGTTTTGGTCTTTGACTTTAATGTTGGTGGATTTCCTCAAATGCCTGCTGATCTTTGGCTGTCTAATAATATTTAAAAGTGGAACACTGAAAGTCTAAGTGGAACTTCATGAGAAGACAGTGGCAATTCGTAGACATCACCTTAGGGTGATTAGGTAGCACCCTGTCATTTCATTGTGGCATCCCCAAATGTCAAAATCTGTAAGATTTTCCTCTTGGATCCTTTTTCCTCAAAAAGGGTCCTTTGGAACTTCCTGGTGGCACAGTGAAGAATCCGCCTGCCAATGCAGGGGACACGGGTTCAAGCCCTGGTCTGGGAAGATCCCACATGCCGCGGAGCAACCAAGTCCATGCGCCACAACTACTGAGCCTGCGCTCTAGAGCCCGTGAGTCACAACTACTGAAGCCCGTGTGCCTAGAGCCCATGCTCCACAACAAGAGAATCCACCTCATGAGAAGCCTGCGCACCACAATGAAGAGTAGCCCCTGCGCCCCACAACCAGAGGAAGCCTGCGCTCAGCAACAAAGACCCAATGCAGCCAAAAATAAATTAAATTAAAAAAAGAAAAAAAAGGATCCTTCAGTTGCTTCTCTGTCCTTCAAGAGCCTGACTGCTAGTATTTTGGAAGCAAGTCAGAAGGAATGTCTTGACTCATATAATTCAGTCCATAGATTTTGACTTAGTTTATCTATTTTTATTTAGGTGTCTCCTTCCCCCAGTTGGATTCGGGACCCCAAAATCTGGAGCATCTCTGACTAAACTCCTTTTGAGAGAAAATCCAGTCTTCTGCTAAGTTGGAGAAGATGTATTTATGTGGGGGAGGATGAATATAATGTGTAAAGATCTATTGAAATACTATTTCAGGTCTCAGATTATATTTTCTTCATTTCTATGTAATTTGGTCTCATGATTGCTGTGTCAATTAAGAATTAAGAGGATGGCTCTCAATGTAACTGTATCACAGACTGAATAGTTTATCACTCCTCAGACCACTGGAATGGAATTTCACTATGTGTAATGATTCACTTGTTCAGCAAATACTTGTTGAATGTCTGCTTTGTGTCAGGCCCTGCTGTAGGTGCTGGGGATATAACAGTGAACAAGACAGGCAAGAGTGATCTGAGTTATATGAGCCCCAGATTCTACTTATTCATTTCTTCCATTCACTTCATAAATACATATTACTTTTTTTTTTTTTTTTAAAGAAGATGTTGGGGGTAGGAGTTTAATTTATTTATTTTTGCTGTGTTGGGTCTTCGTTTCTGTGCGAGGGCTTTCTCTAGTTGTGGGAAGCGGGGGCCACTCTTCATCGCGGTGCGCGGGCCTCTCACTATCGCAGCCTCTCTTCTTGCGGACCACAGGCTCCAGACACGCAGGCTCAGTAGTTGTGGCTCATGGGCCCAGTTGCTCCGCGGCATGTGGGATCCTCCCAGACCAGGGCTCGAACCCGTGTCCCCTGCATTAGCAGGCAGATTCTCAACCACTGCGCCACCAGAGAAGCCCCATTTCATAAATATTTTGAGGACTCACGATATGACAGGTAATGAGCTGAGCTCTGGGGATACAAGATAAATAAGAGACACAATCTCTGCTTTCACTCAGCACATCATGCAGTGAGGAAAACAACTCAGCAAGGCAACACCAAGGTTGTGTGCTGAGTGAGGGCTGTGACTGGGGAAATAAAGGAGCATTACAAGCAGAGAGTAGGAGACTCTTCCCTGATTCATGAGTCAGGAGAGTTCTCCCAGAGAAATGAACACTGAAGCTGAGACCTGTACAATGAGCAGGACTGATATAGGCGATGAGAATGAGTGTGAGGAGCTTGAGGAAAGCCAAGAGTATGTGGATGGTCTTTCAAGGAACAGGAAGAAGGTCGATGTGGCTGCAGTGTACACAGTGAGGGAATGGTGGAGCTGGACACGTAAGCAGGGTCCAGTGGTTAAAGACTTTTGTTGTACCCTGGGGAAAGTTGATGGTGGCTTGTACTATGTGGTGGCTAAAGCAAAATAGAGAAGTGGAGAATTACCTTCATGTAGAATCAAGGTGACTTAGCAATGGACTGGATTTGCAGAGTGAGAGAAGTGAAGTTTCAGAGATGACTCCTGGATTTCTAGCTTAAGCAACAAGGTGGATAGCCTTCTTTTAACTGAGACTGAGGACCCAGGAGGGGAAGCAGTCCTGGTGGGGGTTAAGGAAAGAGGCAGTAAAGAAAACAATTCCATTTTACACAAGATGAGTTTGAAGGACTTTGAGACATCCAAGTGGAAATATGCAGTAGGCAGCTAGATGTGTGGGTCTGGAGCTCAGTTGAGACATCCTGGCTAAAGATACTGATTTTGCAAACATTAGCATATAGCTGGAATGAAACCAGGGGAGAGGATGAAATTGCCCAAGGAGAGTACATGTTCTTAGAGGATATGAGGGCCACACACACAGTCTTGAGCAAGTCAGATGCTTATGGGACAGGTAGAGGAAAAGAGACTGAGAAGAAGCAGCACGAGAGGAAGGAGGTAAACATACTGATTAGATGACAAGGGTGAGCAATGTGGTCAGATGCTGCTGAAAGGTCACTCAGCAAGAATAAGGACTGGAAAGAATCCAGTGGATCATGCAAAGTAGAGGTGATTAATTTACCCTGGCCAGAGCAGTTTCAAAGGTCTCTTCCATCCTCAGCAGATCCTGTAAAAGTGTAGGTTAGATAGCGTTGATCTGTTCAAAACTCACCAAGGTCTTCATAATCTCTCACCTTTCAGACTACAGTGTTGGACAAGTGATCTGGTCTCTCCACTTCCAACCAGTTATCTCCTGGGACTCATCTCCTTCGACTCTCCCTCCCCTATCAGACTTTCCTCCTTGCTCTTTTTGCAAAAGCCAGGATGGCTCCCACCACAAGGCCTTTGCATTGGCTGTTTGCTCTACCAGGAATAATGCTCCCAGACTTCTTTCAAACTCAGTCCCTTGTTTCCTTCATGTCTTTGCTCAAATGTTACCTTCCAGTGAGGCATTACCTGACACTCTATTTAAATCACATTTATTTCCACTCAAGTGCTAGCCCTCTTTCCAACTTTGTCTTCAAAGCATTTATCACTATTGAACATACTTTCTGTTTTACTTACTTACTTTATTTATTGTCTGTCTCCCCACCTTTCCCCAAATGTAAGCTACATGAAGGAAGAGATTTTGTTCATTCATATGTCCCAAGAACCTAGAACAGTGAATACAGCATAATAGGCACTTAACAAATATTTGATGAATAAATTAGTGAATCGAGCAATAGTGCAGAAATAGGTAGACATGAGAATATAAGTTAAAGAAAATATTTTCAGGACTTCCCTGGTTGTCCAGTGGTTAAAACTCCGTGCTTCCACTGCAGGGAGCACAGATTCAATACCTGGTCTGGGAAGTTCCGCATGCCGCGTGGTGCGGCAAAAAAAAAAAAAAAAAAAAAGTAAATATTTTCAATAAGTTTGGCTGCAAAGAAGTGGAGAAAGGTATCGTTGTACTTGGAGGGGAACATGGGGTCTAGGGAAATTTGTATGTTTTTATCTGTTTAGTGTACACTGATATTTTTTCTTTAAAAAAAATTACTGGTTCATGGAAAGTTGGAAAGAAAGTACAGAGAGTTTCCATTTACCCTTCACCCAGTTTTGCCAATGGTTACTTCTACAGCTATGTAACTACAGTACAATATCAAAACCAGGGAGATGACATTGGTATAACATGTGCATATAAGTCTGTGCTACTTTATCACATGTGCAGATTTGTGTAACCACTACTGCAATCAAGATACAAAACTATTCCAGCACCACAAATATCTCCCTCATGCCATCCCTCCTCCATCCTTAACCCTTGACAACCATGACTTTGTTCTCCATCTGTGTAATTTTGTCATTTCTAGAACGCTATATAAATGGAATCATATAGTATGTAACTTCTTGAGATTTTTTTTTTTTTTTTTGCGGTACGCGGGCCTCTCACTGTTGTGGCCTCTCCCGTTGCGCAGCACAGGCTCCAGATGCGCAGGCTCAGTGGCCATGGCTCACGGGCCCAGCCGCTCGAGGGATGTGGGATCTTCCTGGACCGGGGCACGAACCCATGTCCCCTGCATCGGCAGGTAGACTCTCAACCACTGCACCACCAGGGAAGCCCTTTGAGATTGTTTTTTCTCACTCATCCTATGCTCTTGAGATCCATCCATGCTGTTGTGTGTACCAATAGTTCATTCCTTTTTATTGCTCCATGGTATGGATGTACCACAGGAGTTTTTAGCCGTTCACTCACTGAAATATATTTTCATTGTTTCCAGTTTTTGTCTCTTCCAAATAAAGCTGTTATGAACATCTGTGTATGGGTTTTTGTGTGAACATAAGTTTCATTTCTCTGGAATAAATGCCCAGGAGTATGATCACTGGGTTTTATGATACATGTATATTTCACTTTTTAAGAAATGTCAAACTATTTTCCAGAGAAGCTGTACTATTTTATTTTATTTATTTATTTTTAATTAATTAATTTATTTATTTTTGGCTGCGTTGGGCCTTGATTGCTGAGTGTGGGCTTTCTCTAGTCGCTGCAAATGGGGGCTACTCTTCGTTGCGGTGCGTGGGCTTCTCATTGCGGTGGCTTCTCTTGTTGTGGAGCACAGGATCTAGGCATGCAAGCTTCAGTAGTTGTGGCTCACCAGCTCTAGAGCTCAGGCTCAGTAGTTGTGGTGCATGGGCTTAGTTGCTCCGCGGTGTGACGAAAGAAACGGAAGAACAGCTTCAGGGCTCACAGTACATTTTGACTTCTGTAAGAAAGTTGCTTTGCTTGCTTGCTTGGGGCAGGAAGAACCGGGTTCCTGATTGGCTGATTCAAAATTAAACAGCTCCCTCCCGCCTTGGGAACTTCCCGTCCTGTGAAGGGTATAAAGGCCTCGCCCGACTGTTAGTCGGGATCTCACTCACTTCTCTCTGAGTGGGACCCTGTACGGACAGTTTGTGTGAGCTTCTATACTTGTCTATACTTGTATAAATCCTTTGCTAATCTTTACTTGGTGTTGGTGATTCTTGGGTGTCCTTGGTTGGGACACGGGTCGCATTTACCGGGGAACTCGACTCCAGGCGTGTGGCTCCCGGACCGCAACAGCGGCATGTGGGATCTTCCCAGACCAGGGCTTGAACCCGTATCCCCTGCATTGGCAGGCAGATTCTTAACCACTGCGCCACCAGGAAAGTCCAGCTGCAGTATTTTAAATTCCTCATGGTCTTTTTTTTTAAAAGGCGGGGCGATGTAAAGCCTGTTTGGGTGTTCTGGGGAGGAGCCAGCCCCCAGGAAGGAGAAGTATGCAGAGGAGAGAGCCGAGTCCAGAGGAAGCAAGTGAACATGGAGCGAGGTGAAGAGATGCTCCTTCTTCTGGAGGGTGTGCACTAGTTACCTGCTCAAGAAGGAGCGAGGTTGGATGCTGGTGGCTTTATGGGTTTGATGGCAGGAACTTAATGGCGTCTCTTCTGATTAAACAGTGAATGAAGGCCATGCTGAGAGTGAAGTGTTTTGACATCAAAGGGCTTTGTGGTCACGCCAGGTTGGGAAATGTTTCTTAATGTCACAGCCTACTTATTAGCACATTAAAAGTTTAGAAAAATCCTAGGGTAGAAAAGAGACCAGTCATACTCTGTGGCTTGAACAAATTAATTTTTGTGGTGAAGAATTAATTTTTTTTTGCTCTCCACATGTATTTCTAAACCCTCCTCTCAATTCCCCCACACCAACCCCCAAAGAACAATTTTCTCTTCACACCAATTTGGAAAGCTCTGGAATAGAATGTAGCTACAATGGAACATTGCATGTATTCCATGCAATACGTGGAATTTCACCCTCTCCACGAGAGGCATACGTCCAAATTTAAATATGTGTGGGATCAGAATATAATGATCAGATTTTTAATAAAGTCTTCTAATAAGTAAAAAGTATTCCAGTATAATTTAGTTGTTGCACTAATTATGCCAAGCTGATATTTAAAAATGAATTAACATTCTTAGATGAACACTTGATTTATTATAAAAGTAGAACAGTGGAGAAATGGAGAAAGAGCAGTCTTTTAAATAAACAAAGTCCTTCGATTTCAATAAATGAAGCTGGATATCCATATGGGGAAAAGGCAGTATTGACCCTTACCTCATTTCAAACACAAAAATCATTTACAAGTGAGTGTCAAAAGTAAAACAATAGAACTCCTAGGAGATAACATCGGAGACTATTTTGATGAATTTGAAGGTAGGCAAAGATTTTTTAAATAGAGTACAAAGAGCACTAACAATAAAGGAGATGGTTGATGAATTCAATTACATTAAAATTAAGAACTCCTGTTCAACAGAAAGACATTAAGAGAGTGAAAAGACAAACCATATTACCGGAAAAGACATTTGCTATCTGTGTAATCAGCAAAGGATTTGTATCTAGAATAAATAAATACCATAAACCAGTTATAGACAGACAGTGCAAAATGAAAACTGGACTATAGAGCTAGACTGTTACTGAGTCCAACTTCGCTCTGCTTGCCCCACGACAGGCCAATAAATCGGGAGGGGAGGTGTTGAGGCAAGGCATAGAGACTTTATTCGGAAAGCAAGAGGACAGAGAACATGGCAGACTAGTGTCTCAAAAGAACCATCTTATTGGGGTTTGGAGGCCAGTTTCTTTTATAGAACAGGGAGGGGGAGGAGGTGGAGAAGTAAAGTAAAAAGGCCATGAGTCTTGCAAATATCTCTTGGAATGGCCAGCCTCAGGGAGGGGATGTGTTAATTTCTTCTTTTCTTGTAGCCATTCACAGGTGGACAGGGTCAGGACGGCTTCCCTGAACAAAGGCACTTTGGTTTACCATTCAGGCAGAGGGGCAGTGTTCCCCCGAGGCAGGC